GAGCAGTAATGGCATGATCATCAGCATGTCTGCGCCCTACACCACTGGAGAAATTACACTGCTTAGCCGGTACTGTACCACCTGACATCTGCCGGGAAGTAAGAGCCAATAGTGAAAGGACCAAGGCAGAGACATCTCCAGCTCATCCCCTGTTTGGGTATCAGCCAGCACGTCAATGACTTAAATCTAGAAATAGTTTTCTAAGATCTACAGAGACACTCGCTGGAATACCTCAGCAAGTGAGAGTCCAAAAGTGGCAGGCTCAAACCCAGCACCTCAACCAATGGCTGATACCAAACGAGAGACTCCCCCCTGGGCACACAGAGGACTGGGCGCCTTGGAAGGCGCTGAACAGACTGCGCTCTGGCACCACAAGATGCAGAGCCAACCTTAAGAAATGGGGCTACAAAGTGGAATCCACGGCATGCGAGTGTGGAGAGGAGCAAACCACTGACCACCTGCTGCAATGCAACCTGAGCCCTGCCACATGCACAATGGAGGACCTCCTTGCAGCAACACCAAAAGCACTCCAAATGGCCAGCTACTGGTCAAAGGACATTTAATCAACCACCAAACTCACAAATTTTGTATTATGTCTGTTTGTTTGCTTTGTTCTGTTAGAAATGTAATATAATTGACTGGCTGCCCTGACACGAAATAATAATAACTGTAAAATAAGATGCATAAAGCTGATTGGTTGGGAGATGGCTGAGCCTGGGACTTTTGGATACTGTTACATTCGTGTTCAGGCTTGAGCTATGCAGGTGCAGAAAGAGACAGATTTTGGAGTGTGCTCTCGCTTCGTGAACTGCTGAAGGAGTTTATCCACATGGACAAAAGAAAGACTGTTTTAAATCTGTCATAAAAGAACATTCTGTGAGTCGATGTAACTGATCACATTGTACATATGTTGTTCTGAACTAAGAAGAGTAAACTACTTATTCTTTACTATTCAGCTGCATGGCATACTTTTTTTCTCTGGCCAGGCTGTGTGTGGACTCATCAAACGTGAACTACACGTGGTTTATTTTCCATTATGCCACAATCTATGCAGCCCCCAGTGGTGCAGTGGGTTAAACCCCTGTGCCGGCAGGACTGAAGACCGACAGGTCACAGGTTCGAATCCGGGGAGAGGCGGATGAGCTCCCTCTATCAGCTCCAGCTCCTCATGTGGGGACATGAGAGAAGCCTCCCACAAGGGTGATAAAAACATCAAATCATCCGGGCGTCCCCTGGGCAACGTCCTTGCAGACGGCCAATTCTCTCACAACAGGAGCGACTTGCAGTTTCTCAGGTCGCTCCTGACACGACCAAAAAAAAAAGCCACAATCTACTCTATTACAGTGAAAATTGTGTTGATTTCTTAAAGTTAGTGTTAACTCAAAAATCCAGGAGCAGGACACCATCGAAGCATCACACAGATACAGATTAAACGCAAAAGTTCAATAAGAAAATTAGAAAAATGTGTAATTTACATTTATTTATTTATTTATTTATTTATTTACTTCATTTATTGACCGCCGCTCTCAGCCCTGGGGCGACTCGCGGCGGTGTACAACATGTAAAAACCATCTACAAAAACATACAATATAACAACAATCGAGTTACACATTAATCTAAATTACACTAATAGATCCGCGCCATCACAACATAGAGTCATAGCCAGTCTCATAATCCATAGTCCGTTCCAATTTCACAACCAAATTCGTGTGGGTCTCAATTAAATGCCTTCTCGAATAGCCAGGTCTTTAGGCTCCTACGAAAAGCCATAAGGGAGGGCGCCTGTCTGATGTCAACAGGGAGGGTGTTCCACAGCCGGGGGGCCACCACTGAGAAGGCCCTCTCTCTCGTCCCTGCCAGATGTGCCTGTGAGGCGGGCGGGATCGAGAGAAGGGCCTCCCCGGATGATCTCAAGGCCCTCGTGGGCTCATAGGCCGAGATGCGGTCCGAAAGGTATTTTGGGCCGGAACCGTTTAGGGCTTTGTAGGATAACACCAGCACTTTGAATTGGGCCCGGTAGCAGATCGGCAGCCAGTGGAGCTGGGACAACAAGGGTTACATGCTATCGTTTGGATACAAGTAAAGTCTTAAACTCAAATGTTTTACATCTAGCACTAAAACAATGTAAAGAAAAATGAAAACCAAATCAAAAATGATTCTCTGCTTCCATAACCTTTTTTAAAAAAAATCTAAAGATGACTACAAGATCTTCCTGTTGAAGGAGGCCTCAAGGGTCTTTGAGTAAGGGGCTTTGAATGGAATTAACAGCAAAAGAGAAACATACCCTTTCTCTGACTTAAAAAGAGCAATATGGAAGAAAATGTTTTTAAGAAACAAGATGTGACATGTAGAAGGTACTTCTTACACAGGATGCTTGTGGTTAACTTCAAAGGTTGTGGTAAAGTGCAGAGTATGCATGTACAAGAAGGTACTTTCCATCAAAAGGTCAAGGGAGAGGGGCTGGAAAGAGAGTACTTTCCATGAAAAGAAAATGTTTTCTTTTGTTAAAAGGTTAAAATTGTTGATGTCAGCCAGTGGTACTTTCCCTTTTTTGTTTGCACTGGGCTATAAAGTTTGCAGATTTCAAGGGAAGAGCACGGAAGTCACTTGAAGGGTAACATCTGCGCATGCTGCCCGGCTGTCCGTCTTCTTCATGAACAAACTAAAAATAAAACTTTGTTTTTTATATCTTTCATTGGGACTGTCTCCTTCCTTCCGTGCTCCCACGACGTGAACCTAAGAAGACCGAATTTAGGGTCTCTAACACTGTCACTAAAATGTGTGTTTTCCTATATGCAGTTTCAAATAAATGGCTAGTGGCTGTTCTCCATTTGCTCCTGGTTGTTTGGATCCATCCCTATAATTCTGCTTGTTTATATTCTGAAGTATTTCTTAAGGAGAGGGCTACAGTCAGGAGCTGCAAAACTCTAACTCAATCATTACTCCTTCATTCAATGATGTCAATAATATAATACGAAATAAGCCCCTGAGTTCCTCGGCTCATGGCATAGGATTTCAGCATTCTCCTGAGCAAATGTGTTTACAAACTGTGCTGGAGTGTTTTTCATTAAGCTTTAAAGTCAATTAAGCTGCGAATTGGAACAATCATTCCTCCTTTGCAAAGTATTGATATTTTTTCCTTGCTGCTTTAGGGCCTCTTCCACCACTCAAGGAGAAATTTATGCTTGACAATTTCTTTCTGATTAAAATGAATCATAGCTCGGAAATTCTAATTTCCGTTTTCTCCCCCAGTCCAAGGAATTATCACACAGTTCTAAGTTGGTATCCTTCAACGTGCAATGACAATCTCCAGACAGCTTGTAAACCTTGCAGAAATATGTCCTTCTGATTTCGAAGCACACTTACTTCATTGTTATTTATCGTGTCAGGAGCGAACCGAAACAGTTGCATTGCATTAAAAACAAACAAACAAACAAAACACAAAGTTTGCAGGCTTGGTATTCTATTAAATGTCCTTTGACTAGTAGCTGACCACTTGGAGTGCCTCTGGTGTTGCTGCAAGAAGGTCCTCCACTGTGCATGTGGCAGGGCTCAGGTTGCATTGCAGCAGATGGTCTGTAGTTTGCTCTTCTCCACACTCACATGTTGTGGATTCCACTTTGTAGCCCCATTTCTTAAGGTTGGCTCTGCATCTCGTGGTGCCAGAGCGCAGTCTGTTCAGCGCCTTCCAAGTTACAAAGTTTTCTGTGTGCCCAGAGGGAGTCCCTCATTTGGTATCAGCCATCGATTGAGGTTCTGGGTTTGATCCTGCCACTTTTGGACTCTCACTTGCTGAAGTGGTCCAGCGAGTGTCTGTGTAGATCTTAGAAAACTATTTCTTGATTTAAGGCATTGGTGTGCTGGCTGATACCCAAACAGGGGGTAGGCCAGAAATGTCACTACTGGCTGCTACTTCCCGGCGGATGTCAGGTGGTGCAATACCAGCTAATCAGTGTAATTTCTCCAGTGTAGGGCGCAGACACGTGATAACGCGGCATGTCTCATTAAGAGCCACATCCACTGTTTTAGCGTGGCGAGATGTGTTCCACTCAACATACTCAACAGCAGAATAGCATAACGCAAGGGCAGATGTCTTCACTGTATCTGGTTGTGATCCCCAGGTTATGCCAGTCAGCTTTTGAATGATATTGTTTCTAGTGTCCACTTTTTGCTTGATATTCAGGCAGTGCTTCTTGTAGGTAAGAGGGATCATAACTCCCAAAGGACATGCCAATCAGAGGACAAGCTCTACAAGGGTCTCCAAAGCAGGTATTGCCTGAATGTTAGTGTCCTACGTTTAAAAAGCAGTACCTGTCAGTTAAAATTAGACATGCAAATGTATAGTACAAGTGGCCAGGTACTGGTCAAAGGACATTTAATCAACTACCAAGCTTGCAAACTTTGTGTTTTGTCTGTTTGTTTGTTTGTTTTGTTAAAAATGTAATACAACTGTCTGGTTGCTCCTGACACTATAAATAAATAACATCCCGCAATTCATCAGCTGCTTTTCTCTCTTAGTTTCACAATTCAAATAATTAATGTTCAATTATAAGTTATTCTTTCTGCTCCAGCACCTGCATTTCATTTGTTCTTTTTCCCTGAGACATACATCTGAGGAACTGTCAAAAGTGCCATGATATTAGTGTAATAATCAGAGATAATTAGTCCCTTTCAATAAACAATAAAGCCATTCCAGAGATGCACTGAAGGTGCTCCGGCTACCCACTTTTACAGATAAGATTGTACTGTGAACAATTAGGAGTTGAGAACAGTTGACAAAATGCAGCGCATCAGAAGCAATTTGAAACAAGACAACATGGGACCTTCATTCTTTAATTCACTTCCAGGAAAACAACATTCATGGCTAGCAGAGGACAAGCAATTTCCACCTGGAACAAGACATATGGGGATCATGCTGGTGGAGCTCAATGTGGTCCTAAGCAACTGTTGCTCTTATACCACCACCCCTCCCTTCACACTCTTCCCACACTGAGCTTGGTCAAGACCACCTAGAATCAAGAAATGCTTTCTCTTACCCATTCTTCCAAGATGCGCTGCACAGCCTCATTTGCTTTCGATGCGTTCCGGCAAGCAAGAATGACCTGCGCACCATGGAGAGCAAAGGACTTTGCTGTTTCAAAGCCTACAGCAAAAGACACAGGTCAGGAACAAATGGTGAGAAATTGAATTTTAATACAATCACAGCTATAACTTATAGAAAAAGAGACAAGGTGCACTTGAATTTGAGCCCCAAATTATGATTGCAGTTATTTATTTACTATTTACTTAAAGATTTTTAGTCCATCTTGCCATCAAAGTTCAAGGCTGCAAAGAAAAAGGGAAATCGCTAAAAAGATAAATGCAATGTTAAACCTGATACACATCTGACACATGTAGTGCTCTTCTATCCAAAATAATCAAAGCACACATGGTGGCGGAATTACAAGCTTCGAAGAGGAAGGGAATGCTATGGATGTAGCATATCTCTCCATCTCATCACATTTAAGAGTAGAAAATCACCCCTCTTACATCGTCAGCAGTCCCATATCAAGTTCTGCCTCCCCATCACACTCACACATGGAAACTTAAGAGCTGGCAATACATTTATCTTTTACATTCCTCACAAAGTCATTATTATTAATTTTTTAAAAATCAGAAGAAACAGCAATATCCAAAAATTAAGATATCCCTTGCCCTGCCCCAAGCCCCTTACGTTAAAGGAGACTGACACCAGTTAAAAAACACTTCTTTCCATGGGATCCTATAATTATGTCTCTTGTATCCAGGTTAAAACTACTTCTTTCCATGGGATCCTATAATTCTGCACCACACTCCATACAGTACAAGAGACAGTGTTCCAGGTTAAAACCACTGTTTTGCATGGGATCCTATTATTCTGCACCAAACCCCACAGGCTACAAGAGACAGTGCTCCAGGTTAAAATTACTACTTTCCATGAGATCCTATTATTCTGAACCAAACTCCATAGGGTACAAGAAACAGTGTTCCAGATTAAAACCACTTCTTTCCATGGGATCCTATAATTCTTCTCCAAACCCCACAGGAGACAGTGCTCCAGGTTAAAACCACTTCTTTCCATGGGATCCTATAATTCTTCACCAAACTGTACAAGAGACAGTGCTCCAGGTTAAAACCAGTTCTTTCCATGGGATCCTATAATTCTTCTCCAAACCCCACAGGATACAAGAGACAGTACTCCAGGTTAAAACCACTTCTTTCCATGGGATCCTATAATTCTGCACCAAACTGTACAAGAGACAGTGGCAGTTTATAGTTGTGACGGCGCGAGTGGCGCCACCTATGTATAGAACTGTTAGTTGTAAGACTTAAACTGTTGTATCATGCTTAATCCTGCCCCTTTTGCCATGTTTCTGTATATTTGTATGGATTGGTTACTTGTAGCTGTCAATCAGCACTGTTTGGCTCCACCTCTTCCTGCAAGAGGGGAGAACTTCCTTTTCTTTCATTCTGCGATGAGAGTTCCTGCAACATGGACGTGAGTAAGAGACTTCATTCTTAAAAGGACCCTCTTAAGTTACCTCTTAGCATCAATTCTGAGGTTTTTA